CACACACACACACACACACACACACGCAGAGTGAGAGAGAGAGAGAGAGAGAGAGAGAGAGAGAGAGACTGACTCATGGCTCAAGGTGTGGCCTGTTTTAAAGAAGCTCCGTGGGCTTCTGGGAAGGATGTGCTGTCCAGCTGTCGATGGGCATGTTTTACAGATTCCTGTTGTCTGTTTGGTCTCTGTTGTAGTAGATTCTTTGGTTTGGATGATCTAGCTGTTGATGAATGTGGTTTATTTATTTAATATTCTGAAGGTAGAGTTTATTGATCTAGTATTATTTAATGAAGATGAGCATGAAATTTAATATAATTTCTGCCAGACCCGAGGCTCATTTCCTACCTCCCATGCTTAGGAAGATACAAAATGAAATTCTGAAGGCACAGAAGGGGGGAAGAGCATCCCTGACACCTGTGTGCTACAGGTGATCAGGCTGATCCTGTGGTGTGGCGCTTTCTCCTGGGAAGAGGAGTTTATTTATTTTTATTAAAAACATTTATTTTTAGTTTTTGCATTTAGATGCTTTGCCTGAATATATGTCTATATGCAGTGCCTGAGGAGGCCAGAAAGGGTGTTGGATCCTCTGCAACTGGAGTTACAGATGAATGTGAGCTGCTCTGTGGGTGCTGGTAACTAAACCCCAGTCCTCTACAAGAGCAGCTAGTGCTCTTACCACTGAGACATCTCATTTGTTCCCAGATTTTGCTTCTTTTTATTTTATTTTTAAAATTTTTTTGAGACAGTGTTTCCTGTGTAGCCTTGGTTGTCCTGAAACTCACTTTATAGACCGGGCTGGCCCTAACCTCATAGAGATCTGCCTACTGCTGCCTCCCAAGTGCTGGCATTAAAGGCGGGCACCATTACCACCTGGCAGGTTTTGCTTCTTAATCTAGTCAGATAGTATCTTTTAACTGGTGTACTAACCCTATTTACACGTAGGGTCATGATTGACAAGGGTTTGCTGATCCTGGAACTTCGGTTAGTTATTTCCTGGTTCATATATGGTTATTTTATTTCTCTTTTATTCATATTATGAATTTTATTTACTGAGTTAGACATAATTATTCCTGTCTAGTTCTTATTTATTCACATATTCCTTTCATGACATTTATTCTTTCCTGTGCTCTCATAATTGAGACGTTTCTTTCCTCCTCTGTGTAGGATTCCTCCGAGTATCTTCTGTAATGCTGGTTTGGTGGCCATGAATTCCTTTAGTTTATTCTGTCTTGATATGTCTTTGTTTTTCAATATATATATTTTTTATAGCTAGTCTTTCTGTGTATCCCTGAATGGCTTCTATCTCAATATGATGCCCAGAAGGAAGTGCTTTTAATCACTGAGCCATCTCTCCGACCCTAAAGTCTTTGATCATTTTTAAAGTAGTCTTTTGAATTCTTTGTTTGGCATGCCATCCACTCCAGTATATCTGTTTCAGTATTTGGGAATCTGAGCTTCAGAAGGCATAGTGTTGGGGTCAAAGCTTCGGAAGGCATAGTGTTGGGGTCTGAGCTTCGGAAGGTATAGTGTTGGGATCTGAGCTTCGGAAGATATAGTGTTGGGATCTGAGCTTCGGAAGGCATAGTGTTGGGGTCTGAGCTTCGGAAGGCATAGTGTTGGGGTCTGAGCTTCGGAAGGCATAGTGTTGGGGTCTGAGCTACATTAGGCTGCAGCGGGAAAGGACCATCTTCTGTAAGCAGCTCAAAGTTCCTCCTGCCACTAGCCAGTTCACCCAGGCCCTGGACTGGCAAACAGCTACTCAGCTGCTTAAGCCTGCCCGCAAGTACAGGTCAGAGACAAAGCAGGCAAAGCAGAGTCTGCTGGCAAAGGGGATGTCTCAACTAGGAGATCACCTGTCCTTCGAGTGGGGGTCAGTACAATCACCATCTTGGTGGCGAACAAGAAGGCTCAGTTGATGGTGATTGCCCACGATGTAGACCCCATTGAGCCGGTGGACTTCCTGCCTAGTCTCTGTCAGAAGAGGGGGTCCCCAGCGCATCATCAAGGGGAAGGCCAGGCTGGGGCTGCTGGTCCACAGGAAGACAGGCAGCGCTGCTGCCTTCACAGAGATTGACTAGGAAGACAAAGGTGTGGCTGGCTAAGCTGATGGAAACTATTAGGACCAATTACAAGGGAAGATATGATGAGATCCACTACCATTGGGGAGGCAATGTCCTGGGCCCTACATCAGTGGCTCAAAATGCCAAGTTGAGAAAGGCAAAAGTCAAAGAAATCGCCACTAAACATGGTTAAAGGTACTGCTAAGTTTTCTGTATATTAATTATAATTACAAACTTGGAAAAAGAAAGAAAGAAGAAAATAAACAGTGGTTACAGCGATAACACCCAATAGATTAAAAGTTCTGATGGTGCAATAAAGAAGAAAAATACAAACATTAGATAAAATTTAAGATGAATAAAAGCAAAGTCTTTTAAAAAAGCAAATAAAAATAATAACCAAAATATACTAAAAGGAAAAGGGGAAACACAAAGGTCAAAAAAAAAAAGGAAAATAAAAATAAGACAGAGTATCTTCTTGGGTCTTTTAATATCGGAGTCTGCCAGGTGGATGGGGAGTGGGCTTCAGTGGAAGTTGAGGTCTGTTGTCTTTCCTGCCATTTAGGTTGGTGCTCAGCCAAGCTTGGCTAAGTATCAAATGTCCTTCAGGGCTGTGTTTCCTTTAGCGACTTCCCTTCTTTTCACCCCAGGAGCCTCTGCTGGCTACACTTAGCTTTGCATCCTATGGTGAGGTGGGTTCTCCCATTCTCCCATGCTCTAGAGTCACCCCCCCCACCCCAGTTCATGTGGACCAGGTTGGCTAATGGTGTCTCTGACTGCTTTGGGGACCGGGGAAATGAACTAAAGTGTTGAGATCCACACAGGAGAACTAACTGCAAGTGATTTCCAACCCCAGGCATCATTAGGCATCCATGGGAGGAAGGAGGCTGCAGAAGTCAAGGGCTCTGGGGGAGTGTCAGAGTTCTCAGTCTAGTGGAAGTGAGCCACAGTGGGTGGTGGCTCCAAGTGTGGAGCACCTGCTAAGCTCACGCTGGGGCTTTTCAGATGTCACGGTTACCCAGCTACAAAGGGCAAGGTTTCTGGTCAGCATCCTTCTGTCTATGTGTCACCTGCTACCTGAACTTCTTGGCATGTTTGCATGCAGCCTGCCTTTCCACAACTGCCTGCTCAGAGGCTGTGTCAGTTTGTTCCTGGGGCCCCTGGCTTGTGATCGATTAGATCTTGTGATCCATTAGATCTTGTGATCCATTAGATCTTGTGACCCATTAGATCTTGTGACCAGGCCCTCAGAGTAACCCAGTGTTAAACTAGGCCCCCTCTCAGGATGTTTTCTAGGTGTAGCTACCTGAGACACTGCAGATGGAAACGTGACCTTGTAAGTGTTGACCAGTCACACACAGGAGGTGCTCTGTCTCCCCAAATCCCTCCATGGAATTAGAGGGTTGTGAGAGCCATGGCTTTGTCCTGTGGGTAGGACTGCCAGTTTCTGTTCACCAGGGACTCTTGGTTTGCTTTTTTTCCTGCTGGGGAGCCATGGCCGGGGCGGACGCTGGCCACTCCTTCTGCTGCACCTGTGTGTTCATCCGTCCACACTCCCCAGACGTCTTACCAGCTCCTTTGTGGTTTCCGATGCTCTTCCAGTCTTGCATAGCAACAACCTAAGTTCTCTGCAACACATGCAGCAACTTCCAATCTGCAGGTCAGCCTGGAAGTTCCTAGACTGAACTGTCTAATTTTTTTCCTCTTGAAAGAGTTTTTCCTTAATAAAACAAAACACAAAAATATATACCGCTTCACGAATTTGCATATCATCCTCATGCAGGGATCATGCTAACCTCTGTGTCATTCTAATTTTAGTATATATGCTGCTGAAGTGAGCGCTGAACTGTCTAATTTGTTATGCATTTAGTTGCATAGAAATACATATTTTTTTAAAAGAAATATTTATTTTTATCTTATGTGCATGGCTGTCAGGTCCCTGGAACTGGAGTCACAGACAGACAGCTGTGAGCCACTATGTGGGTGCTGGGAATTGAACCCAGATCCTTTGAAAGAGCAGTCAGTGCTCTTAACCACTGAGACATTTCTCCAGCCCAGAAATACAGAAATTTTAATGTTTTCTTCCTATGCGTCTGGATCAAGTGTAACCATCAAAACAGAGGCCGTGGATGAAGAGATCTGTCCTAAGCCCTTTGGCTTGGTGTGAGAGGCCCTTCACAGTCTAGCCTACCTTTCTAACTTCATAGTCAAGTCTACATTTGGTCAATCTGTGGGCTTCCCATGAGACTGTGAACTTGGGGAGCACAGGACTGGAGACTGGAACCCTGAGATCTCAGCACGAAAGTGCTAACGTGTAGGTCAACGGGCATTCTGCCTTTGGGTTGGATTGTGCCAGGTCAGTGAGACCCCAGAGAGCGAGACTGACCCTCCTTCTATCTATAGACTTTTCCAGACAGCCTGGTCTCCACATGGGTCTGTTTGGCAAGAGCAGACGAGCCGTTCAGTGCTTGCACGGATGGAACAGCGCAGAGCAGATGGGGGCGGATTGCAAACTTTGCGGTACGTTTCCCTACCCTCTGCACTCTGTCTCCAGGCCATCACGAGGCCTCCCTGGGCCTTGTCTCATTTACTCAGGAGTCATTGGTATAAAGCAGAATGGCGCTCTCCCCGCCCCCAGCCGTGCTTCTTCCTCACCATTGAGAGAGTGAAGGATAATTTAGGGTGGTGTAGGGATGCTTCAGAGAACCTGTGTGTAGTGACAGCCAGGCTGTTCTGGCTACAGGATGTTTGATTTCTCTATTTCATAGTCTCTAATGCTGCCCCCATCTCCGTCTAGTCTGCTCTCCTGACCTGATGGAGGTTGGTGTGCTGGTGGAACCTCCACGAGTCCTGCAGACATGAGCTGCTGTGGAGAAGTGTGCTGCTGTGTGGATCTCAGAGAAAGGCTGCCCACAGGGCATCGGCTCTGGAGCAGGAGTCGTGGACTGGGAGCTTCGTGCTGAGCCGTCTCATAAACCAGGCCACTTCTACAAAGTGTGTGCAGTGTTTCTGTGGATGAACCAGGCCTTGTCTTGTCTCACCAGGCTTATTTACCCCTCCCTGTAGACTGACATTCAGTGCCTTGTCTCTCTCAACCGTTTTCTCTAAGGGAAAGTGGATGTCTGCTCAGCAAGTCTTTGCTGTGGACGAACACTGTGGACATCGCTGAGAAGATAAGCCTGGACCATGGGTCTGGGGAGGTGGGTTCAGAGAAAAGCGCTGCTTGGTCATTACTGTGAGAATGGGCCGGTCAGCTTGATTACGGATCCCCACTGCAGATTGCAGACTGGACAGCTGAGGGATGCTTGCTTGTGAGCGGTACTTGGGGGTGCAAGGTTTGTTCACCCAGGAAATGAATGCACAAGCTAGCTATGGGGAGCTTTACAGCAGATTGGCTCTGACCATCACCTCCCCTGGCTCTTGGGGCTTCTCAGCCTCCACAATCATTGTTTCGTGTTACCAGTCTAACGGTGAGCGACAAGGGTGACAGAGTCCGAAGCGGGAAGACCATCCAGGTTTGTGCCCTTTCTTAGGCCTGTGGGACAGTGGAGGGTCAGATGTGTTTGCCTTAGCAAAGGAAGATGAACAGAGCACAGACTGTTTCTCGCTTGCTGCTCTCCGTGAGAAGTGTGTTTGTGGAGAACGGCTGCCAAAGAGGTAGTGCGTGTCCAGATGAAAGAAACAGACATCCAGTGGATAAGCAAGGGCAGAGCTGCCTGTGTTGTTTGATTTTGCCAGAATTCTAAGCTAACGTCTTTTGCAGTTATCTCGGCTTTCCCCACACTGCTCACAAGATGGCGGCAGCAGCTCCAACCTTTGCATCCACATACGTCTAAGCCCAGGCGCAAGAACTGGGAGCGAGTTCAGAATTGTCGAGGGCAGCAGCAGGCTTTGTACACTTTCCTTCCTCTTAGTAAAGAAAATCACCTCCCCAGACTTCTCCTCCATCTAATAGCCTGGACCTGTTATGAATCTACCAAGGAAACAATCTGGAGGATGGAAAGGCATGTCGGATGACTGGGTGAGATAAGTAAGGACCAGGTCAGCAGCTAAGCACACAAAGGTGAGATTCTGTCAGGAGTCACGAGGAGGAGAAAGGGATGGGCAGAGAGAGTGGTGTGCAAATTCTTGAGATGCTTCTGAGTCATCAATGATTGTTGAGAACATCTTTGGTTTCTACCTGCCCACCTTCTTCAGAAGTAGACTTTGTGTTCCTTTGGGCATGGAGGGGACTCTATCTTCATCGTTCCAAGGTAGACAAATGACATGAGTCAGACCCATGGGATCAATTTCAGGGCTCCTGTTTGAAATACCGGGAATGAGTTCTCCTTACTCCATGGTGTCTGAGGAGATGACTGGCCGGCCTGGGGCTCTGGTGCTCTAGTTTGCCTGCCTGAATGAATAAATGATCAGATGAAACCCGCAGAAAGGAAAGAACCACGAGCAAATGAGTAAGGTGGGTCCAGATGAACATCCAGGAGCCCGAGGGCAGCAGTGGCAGACAGACTCACGCCAGGTGGTCCAGTGGTCTGACGTGGCGTAGCTGCAGCCTCTTTGCTTCCTGCTAGGAATCAGAAACAAGTAGGGAGATGTAACAGATTCTAAAATCAGAACTGGTTGACTCAAGGAATTCCATCCTGGGCTAAGAAGATCGCAGCCATGTTATATTCTTATAAAGCAGCTAGTTGAGTCATTTCCTGTCCCATCCTGGGCCCCTCAGCCAGTGTAGACTAATGTAGGATTGCTGAAGTGCTTGGTGGAACTTTCCAGGCTGTGCAGAACACGAGCTATTTCCTGAAACTCAGGTTCTGGGGGGCAAGTGTCTAGCTTCTGTCATAATGGGTCTATCTGGAAAAATGTTTGTATGTAAGAGGCCCGCCCCCTTTGCCTTTGGGTGCTGAAGTCAGGTGATGCTGTGCCTTGCAGGGCTAGAGCGCGTGAGTGAGTTCCTTGTCAGGTGATGTGACTGGGAAGAAAGATAGGAGTGAAATCAGAGAGGGGCGTGGGTTAGACTTGCATTGCTGCAGGGTGGGAGTCAGCAAGCCTCTTGGGGCAAGGAAGGTATTCCCACAGAGTAAGATCACTAGGCTGGGTGGTGGTGGTGGTGGTGGTGCTGGTGCACACCTTTAATCCTAGCACTCGGGAGGCAGAGGCAGGGCGGTCTCTGTGAGTTCAAGGTCAGTCTGGTCTATAAGAGCTAGTTCCAGGACAGGCTCTAAAGTTACAGAGAAACCCTACCTCAAAAAAAAAAACAAAAGAAAAAACAGGATTGGGGTTCAGGGTTTGGTTCTGAGGTTCTGGAGAGAAGGATAGAGTGGGGGAGGATAAGCAGATGAACATAAAGTTAACTATTGGGAGTTGCAGGCCTTACCTAGGCAGGCGGGACCCTAGTGTCTGGGAAGAAGGAGTTAAGATGGAACATGTCAGAAAAGAAGAGCTAGGGTCTAGGG